AAAAAAAAAAAAAAAAAAAAGATGATCTGGAGGTTGAATATTGATTGATGGCAATAACTAGATTAAATTAATAGTCTAGGAGCTAAATCATGAAGGTCTGGACTACAGAAATAGCAGAAAGAATAGAAAAGATAACTTTTGTAAAGAGCATTGCCCTCAAGTAAGACCTCAGACCTGAGGAAAGTGCCTAAGTGGGAACGTGCTGCTCTAGACTGCAGGACATCTGAGAACAGGGGCTCCTGGCAGGTTATAATATAGTCCAGTTTCAGAGGCTCCCTGGTGCAGAGGGCAAGGCTTCTCTCAGGGGCCATGCTTTCCCAGTGTATTCCTAGAAAGCTAGCATTGGACAGTGCAGAAGAGGTAGACAGTAGTGACATTAATAAAACTGTTTTTAAGACCCATTCTGGCCCCAAGGAAACAGTTAATGGAGAAGGCGTCTGAGAAAAAAAATCAATCTATTCTTCTAATACAAATTAACCCTGCAAGTGCTGATGTCCAGGTATGGAAAGAGGTGGCTGGGGACTCTCTGACTTCAGTTTTCCTATCACAAAGTTGTTAATTTGGATCCTGCAATGAAACATTTTTTATGTATCTAGTAATTCTGGATTGTATTCTAGACATCACAAATGGCACTACGCATAAACTCTGGATTCTCTTAGGTTCCCCTGAAGAACATTGATTTCCTCCCCCTAGTAACAGTTAACTAGGCTAAACTCAAATTCCAGCTGCTAAAAACCCAGTTCAGTTCTTTTTGCTTTACCTGGGCTTCTCTGAGTCTGCCCTGCATACATGTAGTTTAAAGGTCAGCCAGATATTTAGGCAGATATTATAGCAAGAGTTTAGGGCTCTTCTCCTACTATTTTTGGGATTTCTCTGCCTCACTTTTTCAAAAAAAAATATGCTTTTATTGATTTTAGAGAGAGAGGAAGGGAGAGGGAGAGAGAGATAGAAACATCAATGAGAGAGAAACATCAACATCGATCAGCTGCCGCCTGCACACCGCTGCTGGGGATCAGGCCTGCAACCCGGGCACTGGCCTGACTGGGAATCAAACTAGCGACCTCCTAGTGCATGGGTCAATGCTCGACCACTGCCTCACTTTCTAGCTGCTGTGGTCACACTGAACCAGTGGGACAGAAGGTTTTCTTTTTCCTTTTTATTAAATTTATTGGGGTGACACTGGTTAACAAAATTATACAGGTTTCAGATGTACAATTCTATAACACATCAGAAGGTTTTCTATCAAGTTTTTGGCCACTCAGTGTGCAGACTGGGGCCTGCCCTCTACTAAAAGCCATAAGAACAGGAAACTTGTCCAGTGACACTTCCTGTCTCTAAGGGTCAACCCCTCTCCAGTATCTTTCTTCTTTTTTCTCTCCAGTGCCTTCAGTTAGTTGATTTTTATATTTGTTCCAGAATTTATAGTTACTTCAAGTAGAAGAGTTAGTCAGATAGAAGTCACTCATCCATTAATCAGAAGCAGAAACAATCATACATTTTTGCCAAAAAAACTTCATTCTTTGATAGTCTGCTCAGACTGATTCTTTTCACAATGTCTGAATTAATATGACGTTCTTGTTACGTATATAGCATCTGATAGTAAACAAAAACACAATCGTATTTACAGTCTCTTATCTCAATGACCCTGTGAAATTAGAGGTATATACTTATATTACAGAAGAGAAAACTGAGGGTATTGAGAGGAAACTTACCAAATAACAATATTGTTCATTATAGTGGTACCAAGCAGAGCTTCCTGCATCCCTTGAACCTCAGCAAGAGTTAGAACAGTTTCTTCAGGAGGCATCAAAAATTGTTTTTCTTTGCTCCTGCATTTAAAATAGTATTAAAAACCAGTGCTTTGTACCAATGCAGTTTCTAAGCAGCCCGTCTACAGATTATTGAACTCTGCACAATAAACACTAGCCTAATGCTTGAAAAAAGTTCCAATCAGAAAACATAGAAATGCTGAAATTTCCACAAGTATAACTTCTGTATCATCTACCTGGATATACTGCAAGCACCTCACACTCATCACATCCAACATAAAACTCACCAGCTCCTTCTTTAACCTCGTGTTTCTTTCTGCATTCCCATCTCAACGAATGGCAGAACCATCGCCCAGGTGACCGCCCCAGAGACCTGCACATTGCCCTTGTCTTCTTCCTCTCTATCTCCTCAATCACCAAGTCCTAATGATTTTATCATCTCATCTCTCCCAAATCTGTCTGTTTCTCCCCATCTCCACTAACACTTTCCTAATTTAAGATAATTATTTGTCTCTTGTCTAGACTACTGCAACAGTTTATAAAAAGATAAGCCATGCCCTCTGTTATTAGGAAAGACAAACAATCACAATGAAGTATATAAATGAGTAGACACAGAGGATGCTAAGAGCTTCGTTTTCAATGTATTGAATCTGAAGGAACCCTGGATGTCTAATAAAGAAGCATGCAGGTCTAGAGGCCAAGAAAGAGCTCAGAGCTGGAAATGTTTGTTTGCAAGTAGTCAGCATCTAGATCAGGGGTGGGGAACATCTGGCCTGTGGGCGTACACAGCCCTCAAAATCATTTGGTCTGGCCCTGCCAAAGCAACCACAGGCAGGACTCGAAATTCAATAAATCTAGAAGCTTTTTTCATAGCTAATTTTTAAGTTGATAATTTTGTATGGCCCTCAAACGATGTTACAAATATCCAAACGGCCCTTGGCAGAAAAAAGGTTGCCCACCCCGATCTAGATGGTAACTAAAGCCATGAAAACCAAGTGTGCGGAACAAGAGAAGGATCTTGAGGTACTTGTAACATTTAAGGGGCACACAGAGATTTCAAAGAAGACAAAAGGACCAAACTCCCTGCGTGTCCACTTCCACCCTCTAAACTGTCCTAGGTTCCAGTGTTGAACAGAACCTGTGAGACCATGCTTACCACACAGAAAGAAAATCAGCTGGTGCTTTTCTTACCCTATGTCTTCTGCAAATGTTGTGACTTCTACTTGCTGATCACAAAGGGTCCTGCTGCTACTCACTAGCCTCCTCTCTGTCAGGCCAAGCACAGCTTGTATATTTCCAGAACTCAGGAGCACCTGCTTTTCACTTTCACCATCAGAGGAACAAAGTAATGCCCTAAACCAAATATAAGAGAAAATGCAGAGAAGTCAGGAGTAAGTCTTTATTAAAGAAAAGATTTTTTAATTGATTTTTAAAGAGAGAAGGAAAGAGAGAAACATCAACTGGCTGCCTCCAGCATGTCGCCTACAGGGCATCGAGCCGCATCCCAGCATGTACCTGACCAAGAATCAAACCTGCAACCCTTTGGCACACGGGTGATGCCCAACCAACTGAGCCACTGCGGCTGGGCGGAAGCGAGTCTTTAACAGTAAAGGACTAGGTTCAAGTTTTAAGTGGAAACTTCAGTCGGGGATAAAGCGAAAGCTGAAGGGAAAGGAAAAATCGTCCCGGAGAGCTACATACCTGATTTCTCTGATTTCCAAATTTCCCAAAGCCACACACACAAGGTTACAAACATCAGGCATGGGAACTATCTGTAACACGGGAACCTAAACAAAACAAAGAGCCAAATGATATTTGGTTGTTTCATTTTTAATCAATCCAAATTCTCCAAAATTTTTTATATTCATTTTTATTCTTACTGTACCACGACAGTTTCCAACATCCGGAAAAATGTGAGAAGGTTCAGCAAACACTCTCTTTTTATGAGTCGTAAAAAGCTATATGCATAACAGTGTTTACTGCCGCCGTTTATTAATGCAACCCATGCTTCCAATAGCAGGGGAATAGTTAAGTAAGTTCTGGCAAGGGAGCCAGTGGAGCATCGTACAGCCATTTAAAATAAATTTACTCACTGAACAAATATTGAGCAAAAGCACAGAGCTAGAAGCTGTGGATATACTTGAGAACAAGAATGAAATCTGCTGAGAAAGTAGATCTTCAAGGTTCTCACAAAAAGAAAAAAAGGTAACTATGCAAAGTAATGGATGTGTTCACTTAAGGACGTGGGACTCCTTTACAATGCATACACATATCGAATGACCATGGAGCACACTTTAAACATGTTACAAGTTTATTTGTCAATTATACCTGAATAAACCTGGAAAAATAAATAAAATTCTACATAGATAAGAATGGAGAAATGTTTATATGCTAAGTGAGGAAAAGCAGATTAAACTTTTAAGCACACTAGGGTTGCAACCAGGTTAAGACATGCATGAAGGTGGACAGACCTGGAAGAAACACATGCAGAAAAAAGCAGAAACAATGTGTTCATGAAGGGAAACATCAGCAGGTATCAGCAAGTTTAGAAGTCAGAACAGACAGGAAATTCCAAGCTGCTTCAGCAGATCTCATATAAAAATCCACCTCCGGGAAAACGTGTGGATCGAGTGAATAAAGTGCAATGTGGACTGCAGCGTCTTGATGGCAGGTACACAATGCTCACTGCACAATTTTTCTGTATGCTTAAAAATTTTCATAATATATGTTGGGGGGAAAAACTTATATCTCTGTTGTCTCCCATGGTCACAGACCCCTGTGCCCCTCTTTGGTAAGCTGCCCATCCATTATCATGCAAATGGTCGCAAAGATCTCTTTGGGACTTGTACTCACCTCTGTGAAGTGCCAGGAATACATTTTCTCCCACTGCGTGGCATCCAGAGGTTTCCAAAGAGAAACTGCGTATTCACAGGCAGTTATGATACATGGCACTTTGACACCAGCTATTTCCCACCACACGGCACTCACATCCACAGAGCAGGAGCCTGAAGGATTCTGACCAGAATGGCAACAACAGTTATGTTAAAGGGAAAGTTGGGGTCTGTTTTATGAAAAGTGATGCATAACAAGGATTAGATGAAATACCAAGTAAATGTAATAAAAATTTTATGCGGTCAAAATAGAGCTTGGTGGGTCTTACATGTAACTAAAATAATTGCCCATATAAGATCTCATGATATAATTTAAAAGCATAGCTCCACTCTGGCCCGGTGGCTCAGTTGGTTGGAGTGTCATCCCATACACCTAAAGGTCAAAGGTTCAATTCCAGGTCAGGGCACATACCCAGGTTGTGGGTTTGATCCCTGGTTGGGGTGCGTACGGGAGGCAACTGATCGATGTTTCTCTCACATCGATGTTCCTTTCTCTCTCTCTCCCTGCCTCTCTTTCTAAAAACAAAACAACAAAAATAAACAAATAATAAAAATAAAAGTATAGCTCCAGAATGGAGTACATTCAAATTTAACCGCAAAAGATAGCCCATAAGAACTTATCCACTTAGAAATGAAACATCCTGGTGAACCACCCATGGGCTGAAATAACATACTATTTCTAAATGAACAGCAAGGAGAGTGCCAGGCATCCAAACATGCAGCTTGAGGCCAAGGCAAGACTTCCCCCCAAAGTGTATAATCAATCATAAAGGCATTTATCAAAAAGCAAGAAAGATAAAAATAAAATAAGCAAGCAGCTCAAGAACGTAAAAGAGCAATGAAAGGGAGGGAGGCGTTATTAAGGATAAAACAGAAATAAATGAAAGAGGAAAGCTCAATTAACAATCAATACAACCAAAAACTAGTTTTCTGGAAGACCAACAGAATGGACAAATCTCTTAAATCTGATGTAGGAAAAAATTATTTTTAGAAATGGGGGATTGGGGAGAGAGAGGCTTATAGACAGACGAAAAGTAATATAAAAACAATAAGCAACATTTTACTTACAAACTTGAAGACACAAATGAAATGGTTGAGTCCTGAAGAAACTAAGTTATTAAAACCGATGCAAGAATAGCTTTGAAATGACATAGGTATTACTATGAATTTTTTATTGAAAAAAAATCTGGGGCTCGGAGGCTAAATCATTTGCCCAAGGTCACAAAGCCAATAATTAGCAGAAACAGTTTGTGTGGATTTTAAGCTCTTTCTTCTGTACCAGTTGTTCTTGACTGGGGGCCATTTTCCCTGGGGAACACTTGACAATGTCTGCACACATTTTTGGTTGTTACAACTAGGGAAGGGGTGCTACTGGCTCTATTTGGTAGAAGCCAAGGCTGCTGCTGAACATCCGACAATGCACAGGCCACCCCACCCCTCACAGCAAAGAATTATCCAGCTCCTTAATGTCAACTGTGCTGAAACTGAGAAACTCTACTCTACACCAAGCTACCTGACGTACCATGAATACAAAGTTAGTTAGGTTACAGGTCGTCTATTTCTCAGGATTTACTAAAATATAATTAACAGAATATTGTGGGGAGTTTTAATGCAATGATCAGTTTTTTAAAAACATTTTTATTTATTGAGTTTAGAGAAAGAAAGGAAGGGAGAGAGAAACATCTATTTGTTGTTATTTTATGGATTCATTGGTTGCTTCTTGTATGTGCTCTGACCAGGGATCGAACCCGCAACCTTGGCATACTGGGATGATGCTCTAACCAACTGAGCTACCTGGCCATGGCTCATTAATAAAATATTGTAATTTATATTTCTCAGAACCACATATATCACACAGCATATGAAAGATTAACCATTCACTGCATCACAATCAATAACTGCTGCCCATTTTCTGATAAATCACGATAGGTGGTTCTTCTAGAAACATTAGATCATTTGGGTAGGAGAGTCACAAATGACTCTTTTCTTTCTCTCCCTCTGTTAAAATGCGAGATTTTAATTTAGATAAGTTGAACCACTGAGCTTAAATTGTTCTTGGCAGTAGCCTGACATATAAACTTCAAGAGACAATCTCAAAATATAAATACAGGTAAATTGTGTGAAAAACAAAAGAACTTAAACCTGTTTTTCTGAATCTTTTTTACCAAATTTATTTAATAGTATTAAGAATGAAAAGCTATATAATCAAATTCTTCTCCATGCTCTTATCAATTAATCACATTTTTTACATATAAGACACAAGACACATTATAAGGGAATAGTCTTCTGACCTTTAATTTCGAAACCAACTGTAGGCTGCCTGGGTTTAAGCTGTCACAAACAGGAACGTCTGCTATTTCAGCCTGTAAAAACAAAGACACACCATTAATCTGTACTTCGCATATGACACGTGCCTGCATCACTGGCTCATCAAAATGCCTGCTTCCTATGGCAGACTCCTTCGCTAATGACAAAGACAACAGGATCCCCCATTTAAAAATCAGGTTTTTAAATTAACTTTAATTTCCCCAGAATGAACTTAAAGTTTACAGTGATATCATATCAAAGAAACATGAAAACATTCTTCAACACTGACGAGCCAATGTGTAAGGCAGTCCTGCTGTCCACAGCCACTGAGGTTATTTCATTCCTTCAGAGAAAACGCCACAAAGGAAGTGGACTGTACCTGTTCGATGGGATGCTTCCACGATTCTAGGCATGTGCTTCCACAAAGCAGGTTTTCTTTGAAAAGGAATGACTCCATGGGTAAAGGTGGTGCTTGGGGAACAGAATCACAGTCACAATCAGGCTGTCCCTCCCTTCCTGACACATGCAGGCTGCCACCTAATTTTGGCTGGCTGGTGCAAATGTCACATTGTTTACTATCACTGGCTTTCCCATGAGGAAGTTGGGGTGCAGACACTTTGTCACAGTGTGCTGGGGAGCCAAGAGCTGGAGTGGTGCCCAAGAAGGGGAGCACGGGGGAGCACACAACTGCCGTCGCTCTGTCGTCATCGGGTGCCACAGAATTTAAAGGAGTGAAGAGTGATGTGGACGAGAAAAGGCCCTTCTGCTGAGCCTGGCTTTTTAGCTTTGGCATTTTAGGATGTGCTCTTCCCGGTAGAACAATCAGCTCCTCTCCCAAATCCTCCTTTTCTATGTCGATTTGTTTAGGAGTCAGTTCTTCCAAAACAATACAATTTCCCTCTTTTAGATGCCTCTCCCCATACACTTCTGATCCGAAAGGCTCAATCAGCTCTTCTGAGCAGGACTTCAGTTTTTCAAGCTTAAGAGGTCCAAAGTCTTCATCTGGTAACTGAAATTCCGTGATTTTGAGAAAAGACAACAGTTGCTTTAAACTTAGCATTTCATTCTTAGGAGACGGAGCATTGGAAGCATCACCGTCCAAAGCTAAATAGGTACTGTTACTGGAAGAAAAGGAGTCCTCTTTTTGGCAGTGACCATCCTTCCCTAAAATAGAGAGGAACGACAATAGCAAATACCCAACAAGAGACAGGAACCCCCAACAAAGAGTGCAGTTCTCAACTCCAACCGTGTACGTAGCAGGCTCATCGCTCTCCCCTCCATGACCTGAAACCTCAGTGAACCATTCGAAGTCAGCCACAGGTTAGTTTAACTGGCAGCTCTCCTTCTGCAGTACCCCAAACAGCATCGTGCTAACAGCATTAGTTGGGAGAAGGAAGACAGGGGTCTAGTCCCAGCTCAGCCACTGCTGTGCTGTTGCTTTGGGCAAGATAATTCACTTCATTTCCCCTGGACCTTCATAAAGTCCTTTCTGCTCTAAAACTTCGATTCCAACAAGCTAGCAGAACATAGTCTATAAAATGCTGGCTTTTCTCACTGAAAACTTAGTACCTTTTCCAAGCAAAGAGTTATTTACTATTCTTAGCAACTGGAATTCTTCTATACCATTTGAAATGCAGCTGCATCCATCACCTAACAAATGCTTGAACATATATACACAATGGAATATTATTCAGTCATAAAAAAAAATGGAAGTATGGATACATACTAGAACATAGCTATATCTTGAAGACAGTAAAAGCAGGTCACAAGTTGTATAACTGCATCGCCATGAAATAAGTAAATCCACAGAAATAGGATTAGTGGTTGCCAGGGTGTGGGGAGGGAAAATAAAGATGAAATGCTTAGTGGGGCCCTGGCCGGTTTGGCCCAGTGGTTAGAGCATCTGCCTGCAGACTGAAGGGTCCCCGGTTTGATTCCAGCCCAGGGCTCTTGCCTTGGTTGCAGGGTTGATTCCCAGCCCCAGCCGGCATGGGTTCAGGGGGCAGCCAGTCGATGTGTCTCTCTCACATTGGTGCTTCTCTCTCTCTCCCTTCCACTCTCTCTGAAAAGCAACAGAAAAAATACCCTCGGGTGAGGGTAAAACAAACAAACAAACAAACAAACAAACAAACAAACATTTAGCGGGTACAGAGTTTCCATGTCAAGTGAAAAAGTTTTGGAACCAGGTAGGGATTGTGGCTGCACGTTGTCAATGTCCTAAATGTCACTGAATTGTTCACTTAATTTACTTTTTTAATTATCACGCAAGGATATTTTTTCCACTGCTTTTCATAGAGTGGAGGGAGAGAGAGAGAAACATCAGCGTGAGAGAGACACATCGGTTAGCTGCCTCTCGTGAGCCCCGGCTGGTGCCAGGTATCCAGCCTGCAACTGAGGTTCATGCTCTTGGCAAGAATTGAACTAGGGACCCGTTAGTCTGCAGGCCGATGTTCTAACCACTGAGCACACCGCTGGGGCTGTTCACTTAATTTAAACTCATTAATTTTATGTTATTTAAACTCGTTAATTTTATGTTCTGTGGTCACCTCAAGAAAAATTTTTTTTAATGTAGCTGCAGGTTACTAAAGTAGCAGATTGTGTCTACATATACAAAAGAATGTTTCTAGTTTGTTACAATACTGATTTTTTTTGTATTCTTGTTGACCTAAAAGATAAATCATAATGGCTCTTATTTTTAATTAATTATAGCTCATAGACCAGGGCCTAAGTCCAAGAGTATAGAGCAGGGTTGGGGAAACTTTTTACTACCAAGGGCTATTTGGATATTTATATAATTCACGGGCCATACAAAATTATCAACTTAAAAATTAGCTGTGGAAAAAGCCAGATTTATTGAATTTCGAGCCCCGCCTGCAGTTGCCTTGGCAGGGCCAGACCAAATGATTTCACGGGCTGTAAATGGCCTGCGGGCCAGACGTTCCTCACCCCTGGTATAGAGCAAGCAGGCTTCCCATTTTTGTAAATAGTTTTATTGGAATACTGTCACATTTACATGTTGTCTGTGGCTACTTTTGCACTACATTTGAGTATCTCTGACAGAGCAGAGACAATTTTCTACATGGCCTTTTATGGAAAGTTTGCTCATCTCTAGAATAGAACCAGTGTGAATTATCTAGTTTTTATGCCGTTTACCAGATATAACTTCTGAGCAAGTAAATTAAAAAGTTTGAATTATAACATCACTTGCTATCTTCCAAAACCTGGTGTCCCACAGATCTCAGAGATTATACTGGATATTTTATCCAAAAAAGTCACTCAGATCTATTGCATTTTATTATGCAATCATTCCTAAGAGTCTGTCAGTGACCTCAAACTCTGACACACATTACATTTTACTTCAAACACACTTCCTATATTAATTATACTTCTACTCTTGGATAAAGACTGTGTTGCACCTGAATACTAATTTTAGGTAAACATCCAATATATTTTCCTTCCAATGTCAACTTTTCCAGGCACATCTGGCATCACATGGACTGGTCTGAAGCCCGGTTCTGTCACTTTAATTAATTAAAGCACTTTAATCTCCTTGTGCCTTAGCTTCCTTGCCTGTAAGGTCAGGATAAAAACAGACTCTACCTCCTGTAGGGTTGCTGTGATGATTCAATAAGTCAGTACCTGTATGACATTTAGAAAGAACCAGGCACATAGTAGTATTAGAGGCCATTGTCGTCACCATCCTCACACACCTTGGTTTACCTTGAACTCAACTCTTACCATGAATAACTTTTTCATTCTGATCTTTGTACAAGGTGACTTCTTCCTTGGACCTATTAACACCTGATGTGCCAGAAGTGGGCAAAAGTAGTTCATGATGGTGTAATGCAGGGGTGCAGACTGACTTTCTTTTTCCTCTGTGTCTTCTACCAGATGGCTGGGTAACTGCGGTCCTGGGAAAGTCATCCTTGGTGCCCCCAGCAGGAGAGCTGACTTCAGTTAATGAGAGAAGTCTCTGAAAAGGACTCCTTGAACTTGCCTGCCCTGTGCACGTGTCACACATCTTAAATTCATTTTGGTTAGTTTCTTCATTGAAAAGTTTTAAAACTTTAGTCACTTTCTTTTTTTTATTTTTATTCCCTTTCTTTCTGACACCCAAGTGACTCTGAGTTACAGCCTCCAGGGCTACTTTCCTCTGGCAATTTGACATATGTCGTGTTGTTCGTACATAATATTCTGCAGGAAAAGGAAGGCCTTCGAGCATGGTGCAAGACTGAATTTGATTTTCTGCAGAAACAGGAGAGATTACTTCTGGGCCAAGACTATGAGACTGACTCAGAACCTCATTTTCCTGAAAACATTCACGTCTACCATTTAGAGCACCACTGGGAGGTTCTAAAGAGTCCTCTGTGTGATTTCGTTCTTGTAAGTTTTGGTTTTCATTTGCTGATAAGTTATAAGTGAGCTCATTTATGGAATATGCATTATCTGCCTCGAAGTCAGGACTTCTAGGCAGCTGGCCACTTGGACTTACAGCTTTATTTACCTCTGGGTTTTCTGTGAAGACAGTCATTTTTCTGTCCCGTGCCTCTAAGTTTACGGGTGAGGTAGGGCTGCTTTTTAAACCTTGAGCAGTAAGTTCACAGTTCCTTTTAGGAGGCTTATGTTGAAGGTGCTGACCACTACTGCTATCTGGTGGAGTATGCAGAGGAGGTGGGAGCACCCTGGGGAAATGATTTTCTGCTAAGAAAGCATCCACGCTGCTTTGTGGGTTGGCACTTGGTGGAATTAATACCCTCCCTCCGTTATTTTCTGTGGCTGGAGCTTGAGAATCTGGAATGTCAGATTGAAGACTTGGAAAGTTAGTTCTTAATTTAGTTACAGGTGTCCCAGGATTTTCTCTATTAATTTCTTCTTGTTCCTTTAGTCTTTTTCCAGAGAGGATAAGTGAACCGGTGTCAAAGAAAGATTCCCTCTCTTGTGAAATAAATGTTCTCATCTGCTGCTTCTTTCTTCTCTCTGGCAGCTTACTCTGCCTTTTCCCACGATCAGGACCACTAACCCTGTAGGCAAAATGTTCTTGTATATCATCTGTTCTCTGTATGTCTAATCCTTCCACTGGGCCATATCCAGGGTTAAAGGACTCAGGTTCTACGCCTCCAGTTTCCTCATTGAGATGGATGTTGATTAGTAATGCATCACAAGACGACACTTCAGTTTTAGGTTCTAAGGAGGAAAAATTATATAATTAATATTTTCCTTTTAAAGTGAAACAAAAAATTCCATATTTATTTTAAAATATATTAATACTATATTATTTTAAAATATTATATATAAATATTTACTTAAGAAAGAGTCAATGTATTTCATTCAGGCAGATCAAAGTTCAAGTTTTTTGTAATCTAATAAACCATAATAACTTTATGTAAATGTAAACAAATAAAATTGTGCTAGAAAAAATGATTTTTAAACTAAAAGACTACCAATTTTTTATTGAAATAATCTTTTTCTTAGTGTTTTTGCAGCTTTATTGAGGCATAACTGACAAAAACTGTATAAATTTAAGGTGTACAATGTGATGTTTTAATATATATATAATTACACTGCAAAGCGTAACCATAACCAAGCTAATTAACATATCCATCAATTCACAGTTACCTTTTTTTGGTGTATGTTGAGAACACTTAAGATCAGTTCTCTTTGCAGATTTCAAGAATACAATATACCTGCAGGATTAGCTGTTATCACCATGCTATACATTAGATCTCCAGAACTTGCCCATTCTGAGTAATTGAAACTCTGTACCCTCTGACCAACATCTCCCCATTTCCCCATATCTCACTTAATTTTTTATTTCATGTCTTTTTTGGCTCAAGTAATTTTTTTTATAAAATACATTTTTATTGATTTCAGAGAGAGAGAAAGAGGGAGAGAGAGGGGGCGAGAGAGAGAGAGTGAAAAATTGATGCCAGAGAGAGAGAGATGGTTCTGTTGCCTCCTGTATGCACCCCGCCTAGGGATCGAACCTACAACCTGGGCATGTGCCCTGACTGGGAATCAAACCAGAGACCTTTGGGTGCAACGACGACACTCAACCAACTGAGCCACACCAACCAGGGCTTGAGTAACTTTAATACCTCTTTCCTATTTCAATAGCTGCCAATTTTATGAATATAAATAATCTAAGTATTAACACGAGAAACGACCATTGTTCTTTACAGTATTTCCAGCCAGGCACTTCTCTGCAAATGCTGTATAATTACTAAAAGTTGAGAAGGAAAAAGAACACTAAATAAACAACCCAACTGAAAGCATAGTTTATTGCTCACAGAATGAGAAAATATTTATAAGTCATGCATCTAATAAGGGTCTAATAGCTACAATATGAGGACCCTTACAACCCAAGAATTAAAAACAAATAACCTAATTAAAATATTGGCAAAGAACTTGAATAGACATTTCTCTAAAGAAGATATACAAATGGCCTCTAAGCACATAAAAAGATATTTAACATCATCAGTCACTAGGAAATGCAGATTAAAACCACAATTCACTTCACATCCACCAGGATGGTTATAATTTCTAAAATGGCAAATTACAAGTACTGGAGAGGATATAGAGAAATTGGAATCCTTACATATCGTGGTAGGAATACAAAACGGTACAACTGCTATAGGAAAGTTTGGCAGTTCCTCAAAAAGTTAAACACAGCCCAGCCACCGTGGCTTAGTGGTTGAGCATCGACCTATGATCCAGGAGACCTGGGTTTGATTCCTGGTGAGGGCACATGCCTGGGTTTGGGCTTGATCCCCAGCAGGGGGTGTGCAGGAGGCAGCTGATCAATGACTCTCTCATCATTGATGTTTCTCTTTCTCTCTCTCTCCCCCTCTCCCTGAAATCAATAAAATATATTTAAAAAAAAAAAAGTTAGACATAGCCCTCGCCAGCTAGCTCAGTTAATTAGATACACCAAGGTTGTAGGTTCAATCCCCAGTCAGAACACATACAAGAATAGACCAATGTATACATAAATAAGTGGAATAACAAATCCATGTTTCTCTCTCTCTAAAATCAAGAAATAATAATTAAAAACATTAAATTTAGAATTACCGTATGACCCAGCAATTCCATGCCTAGGTATATACTGGAAATAACTGGAAACATGCCTATAGAAATGTTTATACATGAATATTCACAGCAACTTAATAGCCCAAATTCATAAAAGCCAAATGTCCATCAACTGATGAATAGATATGCAAATTATGATACATCTATACAATGGAATATTATTCAGCTGCAAAGGAATGGGTAATGATGCATGCCTGGATATATGTATGCTCGGATGCATGAACATTGAAAGCACTGTGCTAAGTAAAAGAAGCCAGTGACAAAGGCCACATATTTCATGACTCCATTTATATGACTTGTCCAGAACAGGTTAATCAACAGAAAGTAGATTAGTGGTCGCCAGGGATTAGGGGTAGGATGGGTATGGGGTTTCTTTCTGGGGGCGGTTGGTGAAAATGTTCTAGGATCAGTGATGACGGTTGCACTCTCTTGTGAATATACCAATTGTACACTTTAAAGAGTCTATTGTATCCTTACCTTCTGCCTGTGAGAAAAAGAACCAGTCAAATAACCTGGAACAATCAAGCAAGCACGAGTGAGTGGGCTGGCTTTACCTGAGCAGTTTAGCTGTGATGCAACTTCCTGCTGGAGCAAACAATCTTCTGCTTTCACTGTTTTCTTAATAAAATTCTTAACCTTCTCAGCTCTTTGGGCCCGCTAGAGAAAGCAAAAGCAGCTCAAGGAACAAATTTAAGGGGGAAAATTGTTTTAAAGCTTCATTATTATGAAGAATTGTCTTTATAGCGTGTACCATAATTTTGAGAGTAAGATTCGTTTACCTGAAGGCGGGCCAGGGTCTTGCTGTATTCCCTTTTCAAGAATGCTAATTTTTCCTTCAACTGCAAGAAGAAAAACACCAGAAGGGCTGAGCAGTGGGAAGGGAACAGTGAGCAGAGAGGAGAGGCAGAGTGCCTACCAGACATGAATGTGATGCTCAGCCCAACAGTCAGCAAGAAGCAGTGGAGGGTGTGGCACTAGCCCACATTAGTCTCACTGCTCACAAAGCACCAAGCCCTCTGCTCTCTCAGAACCTTTTCACAGACTGTTCTTATCACTTGCAGCATTTCCTCCCCAACTCACTGTGCTAATTCCTACTGATTCCGCAGGCCTCAGCTTAGATTTTTATTTCCCTGGAATGGACTTCTAGGTTCTTCAATCCAGGTTAGATACTCCACTTCTCCTCTGTGCTTCCTTCATCATGGTACCTATTACTCTGTTATCTGTTTACTTCTCTGTCCCCCCCCTTCTCACTGTGAGATCCTCTGAGGCAGCAAGAGCTGTCACCCTCAGAAATTCACTTGGAAAATGAATCTCTTGTCAGTTACTGGTCCTGGTATCTCTACCACCTGGGAACAATAGCTGTATCAGTTTATAAAGGTATCAGCTATTGTTCCAGGCACTAGACATACAGTGTGATCAAGCTTACATATAGCAGATGGTACAGATAATAAACAGGAAAACAAACAGATGACTTCACATGGTGATCAATACCTAAACAGGGAGAGAGGAAAGTTCCCGAGTTACAGGAATGGACTATTTTAGATAGAGTGGCCAGGGATCATTTCTAAGGACTACTATCTAAACCTTGACCTACAGGAGGAAGGGGCTGGCTAGGGAAGATCAGAGGGAGAGCTATTTGTCCAAGATCACAGTTTATAAACAGTATGTGATTGAAGCCCATGCGGTGCGTCTCTAGAGACTGTGCTCTCAAATCTATGCTAAACTGCTTCTTACAGCAGCCTGTTAGTCACCAGGGTTATCAATTATCTGGGAATTATCTTGGCTGGTAAATGCCTCTCTCACCCCCAGTAGAAAGTAGGATGTGGTTGGCTGGAGCTTCACTGTTCATCAAAAGGTGGTGGGTTCAATTCCTGCTCAGGGCACATACCCAGGCTGCAGGTTCAAGCCCCAGGTGCCATGTGGGAGGCAGCCGATGGATGTTTCTCTCTCACATCGATGCTTCCCTCTCTCTCTCCCTTCCTTTCTCAGAAATCAATAAAAAAATAAAGATAAAACGAAAGCAGGCTGGGATGAGAGGCAGCAGAGTTCATGGGGAAGCAGAGTGTAGCACGAAGCCTGGAGCAGCCAGCACGGCGCGGCCTGGCCGGTGCCCGCCGAGGCACAGCTGCGCACACGGTGGCGGNCTTCCACAACGCCCAGTACCGAGCGGGGCGGGACACCGGGTGGGCAGACGTGCGCTAACGGGGGCGCCACACACGGAGCAGGCCGACGGGAGCGGCAGGGCCGCCGCGCCTGCCCCGCGTGGACCTTCCCCGGCCCAAACCACAGCCCTTCCCGGGCTGTCGGCGGGCTTCCCGACGGGCGGCAGAGCGAGGCCGTCCGGGGGCCTCGGCTCTACCCACAGCCTTGCATTTTGTCTTTATGCATGAGTGCTGTAAAAAAAGAGAAAGAGTGCTCTCTGAACGCAGCGGGCGGGAACAGCGCCCTTCCTTCCCGCGCTCCCGGGGCGCCCGAGGCCTCTGAGCGCAGGTTAAAGGTCAGGGCCCCGGAGGGCCGAGGACTCCCGCACCCCCCGCACCTTCTCCTTCTCCTCAAAGCTGAGGGGCTTCCCCGGAGGCTCTTCCATCGAGCCCGCGAACGAACGGGAAGAGCAGCGGTCGCCGCCCCGGGACTGCGGACACGAGGACTCCGGCCGGCCCTGGGCCGCACTGGCGCCCGGGAAAGGAACGGGGCGCCCGGGATTCCCTCCGCGCGCGCGACCGGCGCGAGACCAGCGCCGCCCAC